ATAATTTAAGTTGATTTTTTTTTTAAGAAAATAAATAGTTGAGGAAACAGAAATTTAAGCTGACAGTTCAGACAAAATATTATTTCATTTTTTTTCCAAACTATCAGCTTGAATTTATTTTAAAAATAAATAATTGCTTTATATAGTTTTAAAATGCATCATTAAAGAATATATAAGATTTAAACTGTAATATCCCTCAGTGAAACAAGTTTGATTTAAAATTGGAGTTCAGTTGGCAATGTTCATTCACTTGGTCAGCAATACAAATTTTTATCCATCAGATCCGACAGAATACAGAATACTCTCTTTTTGATTTTTGTGCAACATGAGTTGTATGAGTCAAGAGATATGAAACCAATTGATAAGGAGGTGTAATTTTCATCTTTTTTTTAACTGTTCAATTTCTCTGGTATTTCAGCCATTAAGATGTGACTATTTTGATAAGTGTAAACAAACAACTCAGAGTGCAATGAATTTGAAAAACACCACTATGAAATCACGAACTTTGAAAATGTCATTAAAAGAGTGACATAATTTAAAGAGACATGGAACAAAAGCTAATCATCACAGGTGAAAAAGGATTGTATCTTTAAAAAGGGAAAAGATTAAATTTTGTTTTCAAACTAATTTTATCAAAATACCCTAAAAAAATAAACAAGATATCTGCAGTTGAAATGGAAGGACATTTCACTAATTTGACACATGTTCAAACTGTAAACTAAGGTAGTTTGAGATATCTATTTCTACATATACATATTAAAAAAATATTTGTAATAGTATGTCAATGATTTTTTTTTTTAACTTGATTTTTCCCATGATGTGTTAGTGAATTTTCTTGTTTTTACTAATTCTATCTGTAGAAAATGTTAACTTTATGTACTTGAGAGAGAAAGGAAAAATGAAATTACATCTAGAATGATTAATACTATAAGAGGGTCCTGACTAAGAAGCCCTCCCACTCCCATTTTTCAAATTGTTCTACATAGGGATCATTTGCATCTCAAATCATTCTGCAGGTGACCCTCTCAGAAAAATCTGGGAAAATTCACAGGGGTTCCTCAATAAAATATTGATAACTCTCAAATATTAGATCCGTATCTTTTTAATCATTTTAAAATCAGAGCATCTTGAAATTTCTACTGCATTTTTTTTTTTCATTTTGCAAGGCTTTCAATGAGCTTGACTTTCATAGCTACAAGCATATTGCATCTACAGATTTGAAACTTGGTGACAATTGTTTGTTACAAAATTAGGTGTCTTACATACTTTTATTTTTATAAGGACTAGAAAATGTCCAAAATTCAAAAAGAATACTGTTCATTATGAGAGCTTCTCATTTACAAAGTATGTCAGATACATCATCCAAATTAATTTCCCTATTTATGACCTAATAGATTATTTATATGCAGCAAACATATTCATCCTTGTTATAAGAATGCCAGTATTATGGTTTTAAAATAGCTTTTTTTAACATCCTCAAAATTGCCTATTTTCATAGCATCAGAAGACCAGTTAGGCAATTTAAGAAAATATGCATATTTTTACCATATATTCTTATATCTTCTGAATATCATGTCACAGAGGTTTTGTTCTATCTAGGGTTAAAATATTTTTCTATTTGTGCTGCCAAAATCATGGTTTTATCAATTTTTGACTATAAATTTTATGCTTAATATAAAACTGAAAGTTGTTACCTCTATAATTTCCTATGCAAATAATGTAGTTTTGTGTTCATTTTAGCTTTCTTTCAAATAATTTACATGCTATAGGCCCTTCAAAATTGTTTTTTGGGTGGTCTACAGCATTTTTAACTAAACCAAGGACATTAAAATAAGAATTCTATAATATTTTAATTTTAAATACATCCAGTCACAATAGTGAAAATGCATCACAATTTGCCTATGTTAAGTAATTTTATATGTACACAATTCAGTAAGGCAAAAATTAAACTAAGGATTATAAATCTTTAGATTTACAGATAAGCCGCCACCCTGTTGTCAGGGTTCACATATTTGGTGGACAATTTAAAGAGTAAGTGGTGACATACAAATCTGTAAGTTCAGATGCAGGTTGAAAAGCTTGAGTCTGCAGTAGTACTGTGTCCACTATTAACTCTTGACTTGCAGATCTTTCCTACATGTTCTGCCCTGGTATTAGGGCAAATATTTTTAGCAGATTCTAACTTTACATAACAGAGGGAATCTTAAAAATAAATCCAAGCTAAATTGAAACATTTATAGCTGTCACCTAACTGTTTCATTTTCATATTTAACATAAAAACAAAAATTCTTATCAAATAAACAAATGCTTGTTACATAAAAATGCCTCAATTAAATCTATATGAAATTAGACGATAACATTATAAAATGCCACTTATGAGAGATCTTCTTCCAATGAATTTTATTTGGATCCACATAATAGTGTTGAAGGCTTTCATAATGTTAAAAATATTTTTTTTATGATGGAAACAAAGTGTATTATCCTTATCAAAAGAAATTCCAGATATCCAGTGAATAAACATCTTTTTTTGAATTAAGAAAAAATGAAGTTATGAAATTTTTCCGAGAAGGTCACTTGTCACCGTTGGTTGATTTGAGATGGAATAACCCCCAGTAGAATAAGTTAAAACTGCAATCCATTTTATTATAAAGTTATTAAATAAAACAAGAGATTTGACGACATCTGAATGCTTCAGCTTTGTTTGGCAACTAGTTTAGGAGAAGGACAACTATGAATTTAAATGCATGTAGCATGTTGAGAGATGTGGCCTCATACTCTTCAGTGGAGCTTGTGGGACTTTAGTACATGAGTACCTCTTTTATCTTGCAGTAGGTTGACTTGGACTGAACATAATAAACAGCAAAAATAGGGTGGGGATGATTTCTTGCTTCTTAAAGAACTGTCCCCCTCCCACACACACACACACTTTTTTTTTTTTTAATTTTATTTTGCAGCACAACAAATTAATTTTTAATTATTTTGAAGAACATAATTTTTCATAAAAAATTTTGTGAAGGTCTTTTTGTTTGCACTATTTTTGTAGGAATAGTGAAGAATAATATTTTCATTTAAATAACTTCCCTAATCACTTGAAGATTGTGTTTGCTTATAATTTTAAAATGGAACAACTTTGACATAATACTGTCTTATGTACTTAAAAATTTCAAATTGACAATTTTCTTTGGTCTGGAGATATTTTTTTTTTTTTTTTTTTTTTTTCAAATATATTTAAAACAAAAAAATGACAACAAATTAATCAATAATATACTCTCCATTATTGTGTATGACTTCCTCCCATCGTTCAATAAGTTTTACAATGCCTCGGCAATATAAATCTCCTGGCCTTGGCTCAAAGAATTTTTCCAGCCAAGCCCTCAATTCCATGTCATTACTGAATGGTACACTGTGCAAAGCAATCGAAAGAGATGAAAATCTGACAGCGTGACGTCAGGAGAGTAAGGAAGATGAGGCAACACTTCCCATTTGAGTTCTTGAATGTAGAGCTCTGCATTAAGTATTTGGTTGCACTTTAAGCAGTTCATAAAAAAAATTATACCTTCCCAGGCTCACTATACACTCAAAATGATCTTTTGAGGATGAAGGTCTTGTTTTGCTCACAGAGTTGCTTGTTTTTGGGAGCTAAGCCATTATTTTCGCTGCTTTATATTGATATCAAGGCACCATTTTTCATCACCAGTGACAATGTGGTAAAGAAAACACTGTTTGTGACCAAGCAAGCAAACTGGCAGCAATTGTGGAGCATTGATTTTTGTTGTTTTCACTCAGTGTGTTGTGCCCAGGCACCAGGTTTCTGAACCCCTTTCCCATAGAGTGAAGGTGGTTCACCACAGTGTTTTGATCGCAATCCATCTGCTCGACCAATTCTCTGGTTGTTTGACGTGGATTTTCGTAAAGAAGTTGATTCAATTGCTCTTCATCAAACTCAATTGGTCAACTTGTGTGTGATCCATCCTTCATGTCAAAATTTCCATTTTTGAAGTATGAAAACCAGCAGTGGGCAGTACTTTGAGACATTGCACCTTCACCATACGCAGCACAAATCTTACAAGCAGTTTCAGCATTCTTAACACTTTAATTAAATGCAAAAAGCAAATGATGTTGAAAATGCTGTTTTGTCAACTTGACATTCCATTTTAATGATCTGAAAATACACAAAAATCTATAAAATTAAAAACCCCAAACACTATCTTGTAAACCAAAAAAATTCTCTTTCAAATAACATAAAACATTCTGCCAATGTGTATTATTTCCGTGTGCATTTTTAAATTTGAAAAAAACTCTTGTGAATTATTCCTCAACCCAATACTTAATTTCATTAATTTTTAATTACCTGGGTCACTTGTAGTGTTTGTTTGTTCTCAACCACTTTATTTTCTACTGGTCCATTGCATTGTATGAAGTCTTGATAGGTGACAATGAAAATTTATCAAAATTAATCACTGTTTAAAGAAGTGGAAAAAAATTACTTTTGGTGTTTGTTTTTTTTTGTTTTTTTTTTTAAGTAGGTAGTTAGTTTATAACACTTGTGTTTCATGCTAAATAGATAAAAATTCAGTTTTTATCATCCATAATGGTTCAGGTTACTCATTCAATAAAAATTCTAAATTTAACCAAGATTTTTATGAATTGAAAAGAGGAGTGAAGAAGGAAGGAATTGCTGTTGTGTACAAAAAAAAAAATTTTAAATTCTAAACCAAAAAATTGTTCATTGTGAAATTATGGCATGGCTAATGTTTTGAATCTTAATTTTTATTTAAAACATCCCAATTAAAAAGTCTGTATATTGTCAGTAATCTTATTGAAAGCTTGAAAAGTTTTAAATTTCAATTTTACTTTTTTGTTTTAGTGTTATGTACATACATTATTTTTTGTTAATTTTGCATATGTACATTATTGTATATAAATGATTTTTTAATATATTATATATTATTAAACGTTTTTTATATTATGTAAATAAATATGTTTATATTTCTTTTCAGTACAAATATCCAGATATTGCAAAGCCAGATGTGTTGAGAGCTTTTCAGAATTTCAAAGACCTCAGGCCAACACTAGAGACATTTGGTGAGTTTTTTATTTTTCTCAATTCTTCATATCCTTAACCCCCCTTGAATAACACCATATTGCAAAAATGATGCTTCTTTTATATTCTTGAATTATTTTCTTGTATTTCTGAAAGTTTGAAGTAAATATGCATTCAGATTTTTCATTTCCAGAAAATAATAGTATTGAAATTTTGCAAAAAACAAAAATTTTGTAACGGTGGAAATTCTTACTGCACCTTACAAGTTATTGTTTCAAACAGGAACATTTCCTCCTCCTTTTCCCCCAACTTTTTCTCCCCCCCCTTTTTTTTATACTCGCAAAGTTTTTTTTATTTTAATCTTAGTAACATACTGTAAAATAAAAATTCTCTATCAAATGTTAAATTTTATACGCAGTTTTCTAAAGAAATAGACTAAGCATCCAGCCTTGCCAGGCTTTTTAAATCTCTACAAGTGAGTACTATCACACAAATTCACTATACTGTGGAAGAACCCTCCCCCCCTTGAAAATATTATACTAATTTAATAACTGCTGTATGTTAACTCTTTTTAATTGAAAATTTCCTTTCACTGTCAATCGCATCATTTATTCATAATTACGTTTTTGCTTCTGTGCTTCTGTTTGACTCCTAATCTGTGTGTATTTTTAGAAATAAATATTTGCATTAGGATGTTTCTGTCTTATGCAGGGTTGTGTTAAAAAAAAAAAATCCCTTTTTGCTCTTTAGCTAAAAGTGATGGGTTTTTTTTTTTTTTTTTTTTTACCCTAAATTGATGTGTAATAAACTCTTGATATCTCAGGATATCTCAAATTAGTGCCACCTACCCTACATTCCTTGTCAAGTCAAATTAATCTTATAGGCTAAGTTTTAATCCTGAGGATTCAGTTGTTTGAAGAATACATGCAAGTAAAAGTTGTTGACTTTTTAGTAGAAATAAATTTATTTAATTTTGTTAAAATAAACAAACTGATAACATTTATCCTTTCTACTAAGAAAACATTGTTCCTATCGACTCCACTTATTGCTGTCTAAAACTAAATAAAAAATATATAGTGAAAATTGACATTTTCTTTTTCTCTTCATTGTGATCACATTTCTCAGATCTGTTACTTTTCAAGAGATTTTGTCAACTGTAGGTATATGGGTTTGCCTTGAAATTTAGCTTACCAGAACTGAATTTTCATGGATCTAATAACTAATGTTACTGACTGAAATTATATTGGTGTGAAAAAAAAAAAAAAAAAATTTATATATATATATATAAGTTCATATTTTTCACTTCTCAATTTATTTTGACTAAAATAGAAGCAAATTTAAAAGCTTGAAATCCTACAGAAAAAAAAACCTATTGTCTTATTTGAAAAACAATACAAATTTTATAATTTTTAACCCCAAATGCATTTGTACTTAGAATTGAATCTTTTTCTTATCATTTTCCATCTACTTTGCCTTTTGTAAAACATTCACTTGATTAATAGAGAACTGTTTATTTATTTTTATTAGTTTCTATTCACAAAGATATCTATTACAAGATTCCTGAAAATTTCAAATAGACAAATATAAATTAACCAATTCCTGTTCTCACCTAGATTCAAGGAATTACTTGGCACTCCTCCATTCTTAACCTTTTCAAGTTTGTCTGCAAGACAAACATTCCAAAATGAGTCTTACAAATATGCCATTAAAATATCTAATTAGAATGATCTACTACATTCTTGTCTTTTGTAAAAATTTTAGTCGCTAGATATCACTTGTAAAACCTTAAGGTCAACCAACACTTGGCAGCATTTGCAGATCACAATCCTCTCAATCACCTTTTAAATCATTTAAGATGATCTCTTAACCCTTAGGGAATTTTTCCTTCTCTCATATCTAGATTATGCTTAATGATCATTGCTTTCTCTTTTCATTAAAATTTTTTTCTTTTATCATTTTCTTGTACAAATGTAGAAAAATGTCTCTACCTGAATTTCAGGGCAATGTTTTTATTTACATTCAAACTAATTTCATTTTTGTTATCAACAAGAAGTAGAAAAGTATTACTTTTGTACTTAACCCAATTTTCTTTGTATAATAAAGCTACCCCACCCAAAAAAACCTTTATGTAAGCAATAAAGTTGGAATATTCTATATATTGCTGCATCCTTTGTAGATAGGGATGTGATAGATGTTAACTTACTTGATTGTCAGCAAACTGAGATGTGTTAGACAAAACTAAATATGACTTTTCAACTGCTTATATAACAACAATAACCAGTACATGAAATGAGATAAGAATTACATCTGAGTATCAATTTTCTGTTTCAAATAACAAGCATATTAAATGTACATCTAATAAATTAACAGATAAAACAGCTATTAATAATTATGACAGAGGTTAATCTAGATAAAGCTTTGGTAATTTTGCATTTTTTATTAAATGACAGATTTCTAGAAAAGAAATTTGTGAATAAAATTTGTATTTTACTTTTGATTTGTTTAGATTATATTCCCTGTCGAGGATTCTTATCTCTAAATATTTGATAATGATCTGAACTTGGCTCAAATCTCTGTATGTGAATTAAGTTCTTCTGTACAAAGACCTGTCTTTTTTCTATCATTTTGCATATTAGCTTATGCATAATAAACATCACTATACAATTAACTGATGATGAAAGAATGAAAATAAGAATTCACTTTTCACTGCTAATAAAGTTGTTTCAATCATGATCTGAATAATTGGAATAGAGGTGGATGCATTTTTATTTTAACTTGTAAATGCTGCCATGTTTATATGTTGAAATTTAATTTCCCCACTCTATCTTCCCTTTATCTTTACACAAGATTTTTAATTTTTCTTTTTTGCAGTGTTCAATGATGGTAATAAAAAAGAATTAGTCAGTTTGGATGGCACAATTCCTGTTAAATACAAAGGTAAATTATTTCTTTTGAAGTGAATTAATTTTCTATAACAACAGAACGGTCTTAGTTTTTTTGTTTTTTTTATATTCTGTAGTAATGTTTATTTTCAAGCTATTTCAGGAATATCAAATTGTAAATGTCTAGTTGAAGATTTCTAAAGTGTATATAATATTTTTGTATTTTATTACAAATACCTTTTTTAAAAAGTAAAGATCTAAAAAGAATTGCAATGTACACAATAAAGCCATATTTTAGTCATTGGAATTTTGTTTCTCTTGAGTTCCAAATATTTAGCTACTTCAGGTTAGAAGACTAATGGAATTCAAAACTTTTTTTTTCTTATAAAACATTTAGTTTTAAACTTGTGAAAGTGTTGATATAATCTGGAAACAAAGTAAGCTGATATATTTAATTAGCATGAACTAAGTTTTCTTTGTCATAAAGTATATGAGAAAAAATATACAAATTGTTTAAAAGTATTTTTTCATTCCTTATGCATATGAAATGTTGAATAAAGTATTCTCAGGTGCAATTTATATGATGTTGAATAAATATCTACACTATTTGAACAAAAATGAATGAAATTAACTGATTGCAACAGCTAAATATACTTTAATGTTTAAAAAAAAATTATCCAGTATTATTATTATTATTTAGGTAATAAGCATTTATAACATAGCACAAATAGCTATATTGTGGAAAAAGAATTTTTGACAATATATGCATTTTTTGCGTATTTATGGTTATTTTTTTTACTTTTATCCAAAACTACATTCTTGTGCATGTAGTTATGAATAATATTATACATTAATTACTAATTTTTTTAATTAATAACTATTTGTGTCCAGTTGTTGACATTAATAGCTACCTGCTGATGTGTTAAAATTTTGGAATGCAATAAATGAAAATTTAAATTTCATCTCTCTGCGATCTGTAAAATCATTTGTGGAGATTTTTTTTACTGATTTTGTCAGATTATTCTATAAGCCTTTATATACACAATTCTTATCTGAAAAAAGAAAAAAAATGGATTTCAAGTTTTTTGTATTTTTTTTTTTTTTTTTTTTGTTCAAACATTTTTACATAAAACCTTTTCTTCCACTTGATAATTATCTCTACAGTAAGCTTTAAAATTTTATTCAAATCATAATAATAATAATTTAAAAAAAATGAGTTGTACAATCTACAAAAAAAGTCCTTTGTGTTTCCAGGAAATATATATAACATTCCTATCTGTATATGGTTGTTGGATACTCACCCGTACAATGCGCCAATTGTTTATGTGAAACCGACGAGCACCATGCAGATCAAACCTGGTCGATATGTGGACCCCAATGGAAAGATTAATCTGCCTTATTTGCTCAATTGGAGATTTGTAAGTATTTCTTATCTTGTTGGATTACCATATTGATTTAGTTTAATTGAATGAAGAGTGTCAAATCAAATACTCTGGGAGCTTTCAGTGGTCTATAGCAATTTCAGAAGGCAGCCTCTATAAGTACAGATAAAACCAAGAAAAAAAAATGTTGCATATTTAAAAAATAAAAAAAAATACAGGGAAACTGCTGATGTAACCTGCTTACTGATGTAACCTGCTTGAATAACAAGTCTTGGGCGAACATGGATAAATGTGCCTGCAGTAAGGTGGAATATTAAAGAGACTATTTTTTCCATGACACTGCTTCTTTTTTTTTTTTTTTTTTTTTTTTTTTTTTTTTTTTTAAAACTATTTTCATTCTTTGGCATTGTTTATTGTTCTAAAAAGCAGTGATTAGATTTGGAATAAAACTTAAACACATGAAAGTGAATTGCTACATTTTGTTTGTTGTTGGGAATTGACAAAAAATATTATTGTTTATTTACTCTTTATTATATTGAAATGATTGACAAAACATCAGCTAATTAGTAATTAGTTCAAACTTTATAAAATGGTAAATAATAAGGATTTTTTTAGATTTGGTTCATATATTTTAATAGTTTAACAAATGTTTATAAATTTATGAATAAAAAATTTTCACATTTATTTCTTTATAAATTAGTAATTGATAAATATTGCTAAATAATCTAATAAATAGTGTTTAATATTTTTGTTGTAAATTCTCAAGAACAAAAAAAAAATGTATAAATTCAATTTCATCATGTGTTTTAGGTTACTTACTATTACTATCAATATTATTACTACATTTGTATTACTATTACTATCTGTTCTCGCCTGTTTAGGGGCCAGAAAGAAAGACACAGAAGACGAAGGTAGGTTGAACAAGTGTACTGAAATAACGGATATATACAAAGCAAGAGTGTTAGTAATAAGCAGATAGAGGTGTACGTCCGAACGGTAGGTTAACACTGCGTCACCGCTTCCCAACCAACTCTTCAAGTTAGTATTTATGAGAGGAGGAAGAGTTCATTCTACTGTAGGAAGGTTTACCACAACACTATCGATATTACTACATGGAAAAACCCCTTAATAGCAAACTAATAGAATTAATACATTGTTAGAAATGGTATAATAGACCGTAAAGTACAGAAATTAACTGAAGAGAAATGAGTCATTAAAAATGAATAACAAAATTTGGTAATAGTACTGAAATTGTTGTTTCCATGTATTTCTTTGATTGATGCATAAAGATAATTCTAATCACTTTTTCACAATTTGTGACAACTTTGAGTTAATTGGCTCTTCTAAGTTTTTTTTACATTGTGCTCTTGACATTAACTATCTATGGCAAATTGGCAGTTATGAACAACTTCAAAAGACAAAAAAAAAAAAAAACATAACCAGACCCTCTCATTCTTCTTTGAGAAATCACGGCATTGTAGGAATTTTCAGGCTACTCCAGAGTTTGATGAGGGAACAACAGATTATGAAAGTTAGAAAACGGATTTGAAATTGTGGCCTCTCTATACAGGCTTGTCAAAAAGTAAATGGCCTATTGTCCTTCACTTGAATTTAGCAGAGTTGTGCAGCGGAAGCGTGCTGGACTTATAATGCAGTGGTCAGTAGATCAAAACCACACTCTGCTACCAATTGGAAGAGCATATACAAAAGAAGGGTATAGCAATTTCTTGTTTAAAGTAACAAGGCTTGACCAGGCACCTGATACAAAAACTGACATGGGCTGAGCTTAAATACAGCGCCAGGATTGAACCACTTTTAACCAGCAGGGGGTGCCAAACCTACTGCTGCTGATTTAAATGCAATTAGGTTCTATGTCAATCTAACACACATTTACTATATTGATCACAACATAAGAGAATTGTTTATTTACTATGTAAAGCTTTTGTTTTGGCACAAGGCTCTAAGTATAAAGTTCCCAATGAGAATTGTGCTTAGTTGTAATGATTAACAAGACCAGATTGCTAACCATTATTATATAAGACACTCAATCAAAAGAAATCAAAGGTAACCAGTTTAATACATCTCTTCCAAAAAATTAATTTATATATCTTAAACAGAGAATGTGTAGCATGACCTTTTGAAGATTCTTTTTCTAATTATGGCTTTACTATTTGTAGTACTTCTTTATAAAACAAACTTATTTTCATCTACTTTTGTTAAGTGATTAAAAATAATTAAGAAATTGATTTATTTTTAAGGATTGTTTTCTTAAAGATTTTACATTAATAAAATCAATAAAAACTTTTATATTTAAATATTTGCTAAAACAATCAGGAATAGTAAAAAAGAAAAAAAATATGATGGAAAAAAAGTTATTGCAATTCTAACATTGTGACTAAAATGTTAAATGTCATTTTGTTAATTTATTTTCTTTGCCTTTTTTTTCTAGCCTCAGTCTGACTTAAATGGACTGTTGTATGTTTTAACCATCCAGTTTGGTGAGGAACCTCCAGTTTTCTCAAAAGTATCATCAACAAGACATCCTACCCAACAACCAACTCCAACTAATGCATATACTCCAGACCAATCAGAAACCAGTTGGTCTGGTTCTACTGCAACTAACCAAGGTCTTGGTCATCCACCATATCCAACTGGACAAAGTAAGGGTTTTTTTGGAGTTTTTTTTTTCCCCTAATAAAAATCTTTATTTATGGGATCTTTATTATGTGAATTGTAATTGTTCGGGTTTCATGATATTGGGTAAATTTTCAGTTATCTAAAGTTCATCTTAAAAAACTCCAATTGAAATTAACATTATCAGATATAATAGAAAACTCAACAAAAATGACAAAAATATATAAATTTTGAATCCTGATTCATCAACCTCTTAAAATTCTTGTAAATATAAAATCTGCAATTTAGAATGTAGTTTTTTTCTCAGTAAATTACTCTTCATCCTCTCTTTATTTTTTCAGACAATGATTTGAAGAATTTTTGGTTCAAAATATCTCTTAATATTGTCAATTTAGACAAAGTAGATATGATCTTAAATATTTGAAAATATATATGTCTGTAGTTGTACATTTTAATTTTATTAATGTCTTTTTCTCTCTGAAAAAAGATTTCATACTTGTCCAACAGATAAATAACAGGCATAGCTGGTGCTACGCTTAATCAAAGTTTGCTTTTTTTATTTTTCTAGGAATAGCAGAAGGATATGTTACTTTTATGTCCAGTTCAATTATTAAGGATACTTTAACTATCTGAATATTTTCTTCATGTATTTTTTTATGACTTTCATGCTTATTCACTAAAAAAAATATTCTGTCATGTCTCATGTTAGACCAGTAAAATGATTTTATTTACATTATAAATCTTCATTTTCATGTTTTAATTTATTGCCTGTTGTAAAAGCTGAAATAGCTTTTAGATTGTAGATAAGTTTAAAGTGTTTTACCATTACATCAAAATGGATATTAGAAAAATTACTTTATTAAATAATTCAAATTTGATGTCTTTTTATTTTGAGAAAACTTGAAGTTTGTTCTGTTAGATGTTCTAATGATTTCTGATTGATTCCCACTGGTGATAGTTATCTGCTTTGATAAATTTATGTTATCAAAGCTAATCAGTTTTGATTTATGCTCTTGCTTGCTTAATTATCTTTTTCTTTTTTCTTTTTTATGATAAATGCTTTGTTTTGGTGACAGCATGGGAAAAGTTGAATATGTTTCAGATTACTTTCAGTTAATGTATTTCATTTTTGCATAGTAAATCAGACATTAGAATTATTCTTTATTACAATCTTATAGCTTCTTATTCTTAGTTTAAGATGGATTTCACCCTGTAAATGTCTTATCACTTTATTCATAATTCTAATGTTATATAATTTCAAGTGCTTGTAAAGTGTCTTCGTTCATTTGCTCAGTAAATATACAACTATATAGTCAACATAAAGCATTCGGTCACATTGTTATTCTTGTATCTTGGATTTTATACACTACAAATTTTTTATTTTTTAAAACCCCAACCAATCTTCTCTTCTAACAAGTTTTACCATAACAAAACTGTTATAATTCTGCTATTTTATATTTACTAACTTACCAGCTGCTTAATCATCTGCATTCACTTTTGCACACATGTCCTTGAGAAAGCATGAATACTTTTCTCCCCCAGCCAGGGGTTAAATATCACGGTAGATTGGGCTCTCTATCTTTATTTAATTTTAAGTAAGTAAATCAAAGTTATTTAAATTTTAAGTGATATTTAGACAGGACCTGAACCATCTGCATTCATTTTTAGTAACTGAAAATAGGACACTAATATTGTTCAAATCTTGCATACATTCATTTATTTACTGAAAAAGACTCTAGAAGTGTATTGAAAAATGTTAGCTTTATTGTTTAAGTGCAACGTGCTTGTCAGTAGTATTTGAATTGTAGATGATATCCTGGATAATAGATTTTTTTTTATGGCCCTTAATTATTCCTCTTCTCTGTCTTTAATCACTCCTAAAAATATACAGAACACTAATAAGATCCAAATTGGATTATGGAAGTTTCATATATGGTATGGCCAGGAAATCCTACCTAAAAATTCTTGACCCCATCCACCACACAGGTCTAAGACTTGCTCTTGGTGCCTTTAAAACATCTCCCAGAGAAAGCCTATATGTTGAAGCTCATGAAGCTCCTCTAAAATTGAGACGTGAGAAATTAGCTATACAATATTACCTAAAACTCAAATCCAATCCATCAAATTCGGCCTATCAATACAGAATCAACCCAAACTATAAACATCTGTTTGACAAAAAAGAAAATGTTATCAAACCTTTTGGTCTTTACATGGAAAAAATGATAAAACCACTTACAGTTTGATAGACAAAAATAGTATACATGAATTCAAGCTATACAAACATCCACCTTGGCTGTTGGAATGACCAAAAGTCATTTTAAGACTGGCTGCCCACACTAAATCTGACACACACCCCTTATACTATATAGAAAAACTAAATGATATTCTGGAACAATACCCAAATTGGGCCCACATATATACTGATGGCTTCAAAGTCAAAAACAAAGTAGGCTGTGTGGCTATCTTTAAAAGTTCTGTTCTACAGAAAAGATTACCTAACAACTCCTCAATTTTTAGTGCTGAAATTACAGCCATTGATTTGGCTCTAGACCTCATCACTAAACTTAACTCAAATAAATTCATTATTTTTGCAGACTCATTATCAGTACTCGAATCATTAAAAAACCAAAAAATTAAACAATCTTTTGCTCATCAAACTCCTACATAGAATACATGCGATCTCACAAAATAAAACCATCATTTTCTGTTGGATTCCCAGCCACTCTGGTTTTCATGGAAATGAAAAAGCTGATGTGGCTGCAAAAAACTCTCTGAAACTTAACACAATTAACATAAAGGTTCCATAAACTGACTATAAACCCCTAATAACTGACTTTATTTTGAAGACATGGCAAGACGCTTGGAACAACTGTCAAAACAACAAATTATTTAAAATCAAACCCTCTCTAAAGAAACAACTAACTAAACCCAGAAAATCACACAAACCCCGTATTCGCATAGGACACACGCACATAACTCACTCTTTCCTCCTAAAAGACGAAGATCCTTCTGAATGCATAGCATATGCCAGGAGGCTTATACTGTGAAGCACTTCCTGCTTGATTGCAGTGACATGGCACATATTCGAAAATTATTTTACAACGTGAACAACTTGAAAGAACTTTTTGAAAAATCAAACCCCAATTTGATCTTGACTTTTCTTAGGAAAGTTGGACTATATAATAATTAATATAATAATTCCAATTTGGCGTCTGATGATGAAAGGGGAAACTTTGATACTTACCAGGTGAGAAATTTTCAAAGAACAACGCACCTCTGAAAACTAAATTTTTAAAAGCAAGACAACATCAAAAAAGAAGGAAAGGGAAGGTCTTTTTGAAAGCATTTCAACCTTATTTAAAGAAAAAGAAAAAGAAAAGAAAAAACAAAAAACAACTGTTTGACCTTAAATGATCTCTTGCTGATCGATGGGTCGTTAAGTTTTAAACAAACAAACAAACAAACTTCTCTGTCTTTAACCCTTTAGCATTTAATACTCTGAAACCCACCCTCATAAATATCTCTCAAAGTCTCACTGTTTGTGTGACGACTTGTATTATTTACAATGTTGTTGTCATATGGCAGATTATACAGGAGGTGAATTATGGTTAGTTAAACATTGAGAGCAGATATTCACAAAGTGTGTTTGGACAGGTTGAATGCTAATGGGTTAATCCTGTCTTTGCTTTATTCTATGTAGCATCTTTTTTTTTTTTTTTTTAAGTTCTGAATCATTTTCAGTAATTTATTCTTTTGGGCCTTCTTCAGTATAAATATATAAAATGGAAAATTGGAAGTTTAATCTTTATTTTAACACAGAAAAATTATTTAAATTCTAAATGTCAGATTTTTTTTAACAATGAAAGTAACTTGTCTGTAAGAACTTTGATTTAGGATTATAGCCAAGTTCAAATTCCATTCTAATCCATTGCATTAACTTTTGTGCTAATAGCCTTGGGAAAGGTATGAATCTTCTTCTCCTCCTAGCTATTGGTAAATAGCAAGACAAACTGGGTTCTATAGCCTTGGATGGCAACTGGTCTAGTGCAGAAAGAAATGGCAACCTACTGCAGGAAAAAATCTGCCTTGTCAGTCATGTATTGAAAGATACATGATCACCTAAGCATGTATCACTCATGGTACATAACTGACTGAGAAGTAAACTTGCTGAGCTTAGAACTTTTTAAAAGAATATTTATAAACTAAAATTTCATCATTAACAAAAAAAATCTGAGTTGACAAAAAGTTTATTTGCAATCAGCCCATTTCCATGTTTAAAAGAAATATTTACATATCTACTTAAATTCATTTTGTTTTTTAATTTTTTAGTTACTATTTTAATCAATGTCTGCTACTTTTAATTCAAATGCTTTCATTTCTTTCTTTTTGGTTTCAGACTAAAATGTCTGATGTTAAATTGTTAGAATTAATGATTTTTATTGACTTCTAATTTAAATTGAAAGAGGTTTTCATAAATTAATTATTAGCTTTTTTTATGCTTAATTTTAAGATAATCTATTATATTCCAATTTTTTTTATTTTGAATTCCATTTGATTAGCAAATTTTTCAGTCAACTTCAAACAGAATGTAAATGCTTTTGCCACTCTCCTTGCATAATAATGAAATGTAAATTCTATTTGCATAGAGAAGACAAATATACCACATTTTCTTGTATATCAGTGCAGAATGAGAAATTTTTGATAAAAATTAAAGGCAAAAAAGGTGGTCATATTATACTCGGGTACACATTTTCAGAAATTTTTACTTGATAGAAATAACCTTATTTGCAACAGCAAGATTGCAAATACACTCAGCACAATAGGTAATAAAACCCAAAGTGGACAGGTGTTGATAACAGTTGTTTGCAAATGCTATTTGATAAGTTGACAATATTGGTTCTTTGGGGAACAATGTAATTGAATGAGTTTGTCTCAGACAGGAAATTCACTGAAATTGATAAGAAGAAAAAAAAAAATTAAAAAAGGAATGCGCAAGATCTATCATGTTTTGGTAACATTAATGTTA